CCACGGGCCCTGGACGTGACCGGCCTCCCCGGCCCTCGGGGGCCCGCCCGCCAACCCCGGGACTCACGGTCCCACCTGCCCCCACGCAGGTGCCACGGCGACCGAGACCACGTCCTCATATGCGTGCGGTGCACCCAAGTGGGCGGACGGTCGTGGGACCGGGCAGGGACAGCAGAGGACAGCAGGTCCGGGCGGGGAAAGGGTGCTGGAGCGGTTTGACCGGGGGGTGGGCAGGGTTCCCCCAAAACACCAGCCCACACCCCACTTCCTGGCGCCTCGGACCCGATTTGGAATCAAGCGTCTTCGCGGGTGTAGTGAAGGGTCGTGAGAGGAGGAGAGCATCCGGGGTCCCCGGGTGGGCCCTGCATCCACGCCTGGCGTCCCCACAAGACAGAGGCTGACGGGCCCCAGAGACAGAGGGTCGGGGAGGACCCAGGCCACAGCGAGACGGCCGTGTGCCGAGGGACACTGGGGCCACCGAGGGAGGATGAGGCAGGGAAGGTGCCCCGGGGCCTCCGGGAGCCACACCAGGATTTCGGACAAGTGGCCTCCAGGACTTCGAGAGTCCGTGCCCGCTGTTCTGAGCCACTCGGCTGTGGTGCATGGTCGCCGCGACCCCAGGAAGCCGACCGCGGGACAGCAGAGCCGTGATCTGGGGGGGGGCAGGGCCGCCCCCAGGGGCCGGTGCCACAGAGGCGACTTCAAACACCCTATTTCCCCTGCGCACCTCGGGTCTTGTGCTCCAGCAGCAAGGGGCGCTGGGGCCCGCGGGGTGCGCGGGAGAGGCCCCCGCCTCGCCCTGCCCGGGCTGCTGCCGCTGGGGAGTCATTTGTCCCTGTCGCTTGCTGAGCGGCCAGGATGGATGCCACGCAGGGACGCCAGGCACCTGGATACTTACTCTTCCTGGCCTCGCCTCCGCCGCCATGTGTCACCCCTCGGGCGGCCCGTGGCAGCAAATAATTCTTATTTTCTCCGTTAACAGAGCAAAAGCACTAAGTAAATCTAATCCATAAATAACGGCGGCTGCCGAGAGTGCCGGCGCCCCGGGCGCCCCTCCCAAGAGCCTGCGCCCGGCTGGCTCCTGGGGCCTCGGCATTATGTCGGGGCTGTGACTCTCTGTCCCCGAGGGGTGGCAGGCGGCCGGGGGGACATGGGTGGAGGCTGGCGGGGAGGAGACTGCACAGGGGTTTCAGCACCATCACGACAGCCATGGACTGTGACAGCGGGGGTCACAGGCCGCAGAGGCCAACGGAGGCCTGTCTGCTGTCCTTCTCTGCCCTGGACACAGGTGGTGACTCGGGGGGCGGGGGACAGCCTGCAGGGCTTGACCACGGGCCACTTGCGGGTGCAGAGGCTTGGAGGCCAGAGCCCTGCCCGCCCTGCAGATGGATGATGGATGGATGGGGGGGGGTCCTTCGGTCAAAGTCCCGGAGGGGGAGGGGTGCTCAGACACAGGTGGCCTAACGGGGGGCCTTTGAGAGACGGCGGGGGTCTGGGCCCTGAGGGCTGCTCCCCCCCAGGGAAGGTAGCCACAGGGGGTGGGGGCTGCGGCCTCCCGCTTATTCTAGGTCTGAGAAGAGCACGTTTTGGTCAGTAAGGGGCCAGGTGCTGAGTATCTGTCTCCGTGGCCGGTGCTCGGCTCTGCTGCTGCAGCGCAAAAGCCACCATGGATGGGACGCCTGGGAGGCTCGGTGGTTGAGCGTCTCCCTTCGGCTCAGGGCGTGATCCTGGGGTCCCAGGATCGAGTCCCACATCGGGCTCCCCGCGTGGAGCCTGCTTCTCCCCCTGCCTGTCTCTGCCTGTCTCGCTCTGTGTCTCTCATGAATAAAAAAAACAAAAACAAAAACAAAAACAAAACAACCCACCACGGATGAGCACTAAACAAGCGCGCACAGAGGGTGCCAATAAAACTTTATTTACAAAAACAGATGGAAAGCCAGCCTGGGCCCCCCAGGCCGCCGGGCCGCGTCCTCGGACCGTGTACTCACCACGCTGTGCAGCTGCCCCGGGTCTTTCATAGGCTGTCGCTTGGGGGCTCAGATCCTTCAAACATCACCTCCCCGAAGGGCCTCCGGACGCCCTCTCGGGCCCACTTCCGTGACCGCCAGCTCGTCCCCCGTCCCTGCCTGTTCTGATCCGTGGGGGCAGGTGTCAAAGCTGCTCTGGGGTCCCCCTGCTTTCCCAAACCCCAAACTCCGGAGAAGCAGCAGCTGTCTTTCCCTTGTCCTCAGGCTTCTCTCCCGGGCCCAGTCCCCGGGCACCCTCGGCCCCGCAGGGGCTCCACACGGCCACGCACCCGCGTGGGAAGCAGCAGGTCCTCCGTGGCCAGGCCAGACACCCGGGCCAGCGGCCCCCTCCTCGGGGCGGTGGGCAGATCGTGGCTGCCAGACCCCTGGGGCGGGGGTGGGGGGATGCTGACCCAGCCAGTCAGTGCCACAGACGGGGAAACTGAGTCCTGGGGCTGTTGAGAGGACGATGGAGGCAGGGGCCCCCTGAAAAGGAGGATCTGGGAAGTGGGGTGAGGGCAGCAGTGCCCGGATGATTTTATCAAAGGAAACTGGTGCTCAGGATGCAACTACCCAGGATGCCTGCACCGGGGAGAAACTGAGGCCCAGAGATGGGCACCCCCGTGTGGGGCATCCGGTGCACACGCCCCCCCCCAAGCTGGCATCTCCTAACGGCCCCCAGACCCGTGTATGCGCCGTAGATTCATGTGGGGTCGTCGCTCAGGTCTGAGCTGGTCTCACCGCCCCCCCCCCCCCCGCACTTAGTGGTAAACCACCTTTCCAGGTGCTCAGGCCCCGGCATCCTGGTCCCAGGCTCCCCCACCCCTGCACCCCCCCCCCACTGTGGCCTCCCCACAGCAGCCACCAGAGGGCCTGCCCTTCCCTGCCCACAGCCCTCCAGGCCCCATTCCTCCCCCAGGGTCAAAGTCCCTGTCCTCCCTGGGATCCCCAAGGCCCCACGTGGTGTGTCCCCATCTCCCCTCCTCTCTCTGCCCCGGTCACATGGGCCTAGAACACACCAGGCCTGGTACCGCCCCAGGGCCTTTGCACAGACCGTGCCCGCCACGCCATCATCTCCTTCGAGACGCCCTGTGTAAAAGCCTTCCTCCCCGTCTGCTCTCTTCCTCGCCGGGCGAGCCTTACTTCCTGACTGACTGCCTCTCCCACTGCCGCTGCCTCCACGAGGGCAGAGCTCAGACCAGCTGCCCTGGTGCTGCACCCCCAGGACTTGGAGGAGCGGCACGTTCACAGGGGCAGGGGCCTGGCCGACCCCACGGTCCGGCATGCTCCTTGGCTCAGAAGTCACTGGAACCGGGAGGTCAGGGGGGCGGCGGGAGAGGGTGCCCACGGGCCCCAGACGAGCAAGGGGTGTCTCTGAGGGGGACTGGCCACCGCTGGCCCCAGCCTGGGCGGAGGGAGGGTCTGCGGCTGTGGACGGACGCAGCTGGAGCGGGAGCCCGGGGTCCAGGCCGCCCTGTCAGCCAGCACCCCCCGGGAGGCCTCACCCACACCCCGGGGCCGTGGGAGCAGCGGCCCAGGTGCCCCCACGGGGAGACTCCCGCTCCCGGCGCCCACCCAGAAATGAAGACACCGCCACGACAGCGAGCTGTAATTCGCAGTGCTCACGAGCCTTTAATTCATTATGAACCTAGAGGCAGGGGAAATTAGGCAAAAATACAGCGCATCCTTAATCTCGGGTGGGAGAAAAATCAGGGTGGGTAGGGTTTTTTGTCTTTTGTTTTTGTACATAGACACGGATATACCTTTGTGGGGAAATGCGCGTTCCCCGTGTTGAGCCGCGGCCTGTCTGCGCGTCACCCCAGACCCAGAGAGACCCTGCGGGGTGCGGCCCACCCCTGACCCGGAGGGCCAGCCCACTTCTGTTCGTTCTCTTTACAATATAAATAGCATTTTCAAACTACATATGAACACAGTGCCGGCATCTGGGCGGGGCTGCTGCATGCAGAGGGGAACCCCCACATCCCGGCTGGTGCCCCTCGGACCCCCGCCCCCGCCCTGCTCCAGGGCACCTGCCCCCCGCCCCCCACCAAGGAAATGAAAGTTCTCGGCTCATTTACATTCTTTCCGTTCTCCTTATATGGTTCTCTCTGGCCTGAAAACCATCGGAACAGTTTTTTTTTTTTTTAATTTTAATTTTAATTTTAATTTTTTTTTTTTTTTTTTTTTTTTTACACAAGCAAATTAAGCTGTCAATCCCTGGGCAGGACAGCAAGGGCCGCCGCGCTGGGGAAGGCTCCCTGGGGCATGTGGCGGGGCCCAAGCCCCTCCGAGCTCGCTCTCACGCACCCAACCCACGGCTCTCGGCTCGGGTGGCTCTCGGCTCGGGGCTGTCGGCAGCTGTTCTCTCGCTGTCCCCCGGACACACTGGTCCATGCTTCTCAAAAGGGGCACGGGACGCCCCAGCCCCCTGGGGTCCAAGGCAGGTGCCCCTACACACCTGGGGCAGCAGCCGACATGGGGGTGGGGGTGGGTGGGGGACGCCTGGGTGGCCAGAGCCTGGGGACACAGCCGGACTCAGGCCACCAGGGAGGCCTGTGTGGGTCCACGTGCCCCCTCCCCAGGTGGCCACCGGGAACAGCCAGGCCAGCCATGCTCACCCGGGGAGGGCCACGGGAGGCCGGGCGTGGGGACGCCCCGTGGCCACCGAGGCCTTCTGCAAACACTGGGGGCCTCCGCCAAGCGGGGGTTCTCAAGAGGGGAAGAAGCGAAAGATGGAGCAAACCAGGAGAGAGGGCGGTTATTTTGTGAAGGCGTGTGCAGACCCGAGGGGGGCTCGGGGGCCCTGGCGGCCAGCGGTGGCCCCCGTGGGTGCAGAGAGCGAGGACGCTGGCCAAGGAGGCGGTGCCAGCCGCCCAGACCTTCGCGGAGGCCGGGGAGAGGAGGGCCACCCTGCCGGCCTCCCAGGCACCTCCCTGCCGCTCACTCGCCGAGACAGGCAAGGTCTTAAAACATGACGAAACAAAACAAAACGGAACCCCGAAAAACGAGATGCTTTTATCTCCCTCAGCGTATCCTGGTTCTGAGAAAAAAAAATTCTGTTTTGTTTTGTTTCCTCTTTAAAGCCACAAATCTAGAAAACAATGTGGGGGATTTTTTTCCTTTTCCTCATTTTCCTTTTTTTTTTCTCGTGTTTTTTTTTTTTAAACAATAGGTATTTATAGAAAGAGCCTCACAAAGGTGATGTATGTACAGAAGTCACAATCTCAAAGGCTGCTCAGGAGGCAGGCAATGCAGTAGCACCTTTTCGAGAAGAGCTTACATGGTTTACGAATCTGAGTAGTGGGGGTGGCGCGAGTCCCCGGCCGGGCCCCCCCCCAGAGCCCGCGTGGCCCTGCTCCCTGAGTCCGGGCCGCGTGCCGGCGTCCCGCTGGCTCCTGTCGCCACGCGGAGTCGGGTGGCCCCTCGGGGGGACCGGGGTGGGAGGCGAGGACAGGAATCCACAGCAAGCACACGCCAGGGCCCGCCGCCGCCTGCCTTGCTGGGCCTCGGGGACCACCGGGCGGCCGGCTGTCCTAGAAGGGGGCCCCGGGCCGGCACTGCGCCTGCAGCAGGCTCTCCATGAACGCTAGGTAGTCCGGGTTCCGCCCTGAGTCCTCGGGGGCGCGCGGGGTGCCCACCCGCGGGCGCTTGGCGGCCTTCACCTCCTCCCCCGAGAAGGTGTTCTCCTGAGGTGCCCCCGTGCTGAGCGACTGCAGGAGACCAGACGGTACAGGGGTTAGCGCGGCGGCGGGGCGTGGGGGCCCAAGCCCCGCGTCCCCCCCGCAGTCATGGGTCGCAGCTCTACACCCCCAGGGGCCTGTGTCAGGAGGTGGGGCCCCCGTCAATGCGGTCAGGGCCCCTAAAGGAGAAAGACCCCCGGAGTCGCCCTCGCTCCAGCCGCGGGAAGACCCCAGGAGGAGGCGTCCGTGGATCGGAAGCTGTGGTCCCGGCCACCGGAGCTGCCCACACCTGGATGCCAAACGTGCAGCCTCCAGAACCGTGAGAAACGCCACCGCCGGTACCTCGGGACCCCCAGAGCGGAGCTTCGCCAGAGCAGCCCCAACAGACTGACGCGGGGGCTCTGCTCGCCCGCCCCCCCCGGGGGCCAGGGGCTAGGGGGGCCGGCCCCTGTGCCCGGGCCCTGCCTGCTGCGAGGCTCGCATGCACGGCGGGGGGGTTCACGCAGAGGCAGCGACCCGTGTCACTGTCAGAAGGCCCGGCTCTGTCTGCACCCTGCCCTTCCCCGCAGGCACCTGGGGTCTGCGGTCAGTGGTGCGACCCGCACCAGCTCTTGCTTTGAGCTCATTCACCGCCTGCCACAGCCGCCTGCTCCTCAAAACCCTGCCTTTGGATTAAACACGACAGATAGACAAGCGCAAAGGCCTGGGAGAGAAGGCCAGTCACCGTCCCTCGACCCTGGGGCCCGCTGTTCCCTTTCAGAGGGGGGAGCTGTGCAAAAGCGTTTCTGCGCTGCCACCACCCAGGCTGGAGCTCAGGCTCAGGCTCTGTGTCGGGGCGACCACCGCCGAGCACCAAGGTGGGGGGAGCTCCCGCAGGTGTGCCTCCCCCTGGCCAGGCATCACCAGCCCTGCAACCCGCCCTTCCCACGACTGACCGGGGTCCCTCCCTGGGACCAAGGACAAGGGGGAATCGAGGCTACCATGGGCCGCTTCCCTGGGGACCCCTAAGGACTTCCGGGGACAGCCCCCACCTTGCTCAGACACACCACTTACCAGCCGCGACCGGACCCTCTTGGGCAGCTCCTCGTCCAGGGTGAAGATGTCCCCACGCTTCACCATCAGCTGAGACCCATCCTCAAACTCCACCTGCAAAGGGGTGCAGTTTTCAGGAGCGGCCTCTGCTGCCTCCCACGGAGGGCACTGCTCTGGGGTGCCCAGGTCACAGAGCAAGGGCAGCGAGAGGGATGGCATGTAGGGGTGTGACAAAGAGATACGAGTGCTGGCGAAATACAGATACAGGAGAAAGCAAAACAGCTGAGGATTAGTGGCCATCAACTCCGGTTGCTGGAATGTGGGTGATTTTTTCCCAAGATTTCAGGTTCCTACATAATTTCTCTCCCACAATCATGGGAAGAAACTCACAGCCCCATAGATTAAAAAAAAAAAATCAGGAGCACTGGACTGTACACTTAAAAATGCTTAAAACAGTAAGTTTTATGTTATGAATGTTGTGTCACACACAGGGAACCGGGGAGACAGCCCTCTGGGGACAACCGAGACCTAACGAATCCTGAGCATTTACGCCAAGCAGGCGAGCATCAAGTCCCCAGCAGGAGCTGGCCAGGACCCGCCTAGCCCTCCGTCCCTCCGCCTGCAAAGCAGGGGCCCGCTCACCTGGTAGACGTGACTCGTCACCGAGGAAATGAACCTGGCCTTGTACATGTTGCCATCCGCCCACCGCAGCTCCACGAACTCCCCCTCGGGTGGGGGTCCCAGCCGGACACAGTCCCTACTCTGCAGGGGAAGAAGGTGGAGGGAGGTGAGGCCACCAGGCCCGTGGCCTCTGCTGGGCTGTAGCTCTGCCCCACGCCATGCCGGGCACTTGAACTCGTCCTGACAGGTGTTGGCAGCAAGCAGGGAGGCAAGTGGCGCTCTGGGCCTGACCTCTCCAGGTGAGCGTGTGGGTGTGGGGGCCTGGCTGCATGGGGCCACCCCGCTGCAGGCTCGCCTAGAACTTTCTGCAGAAGCCAGCAGCACCTCTCCTGCAGGGGGCCCTGGGCAACCCCACAGGGCCACCTCCCGGCTTCCCGATGGCCACCCCGTGCCTGCCCCGCGCGCTGCTCACGGTAATGCTCTCCGGGTACAGGTTGTCGCTGTAGGACCCGTCGTCAAAGTTCACTTCGTAGAAGGTCTGCGCGCTGGTGCCGATGACCCGGCACCGGTAGTAGAGCCCGTTGCGGTTCTTGGTGATGACCATCTGGCCCAAGGACACGGCCCGCAGGAACTGGACCTGGGGGAGTGGGTATGGGGCTGCGTCAGCGCGGGCGGCCGGCCGGCCGCAGGGCGGGCGGGGGCAGGCTGGGTGCTCACCGTGTGGCTCCCTGACTTGTGCTTGAAGCAGGTGATGGAGACGACGTAGGGCCAGTCGTCAGGCTCCATGAGGACCCCGGCGGCGTGGGCGCAGGTCACGTGGAAGGAGGTGGAGCAGTGCTCGCAGGAGCACTGGATGCAGGCTCCCGACACCTTCTTCATCCGTTTCCGGCAGTACACGCATTTCTGGGGGGACACAGAGGACATGGGGCTAGAAGACTCCCAGGGTGGTCTCCCTGGAACGGCCCTCAAGACCCCGGGCCGGAAGGCAGTGGCCCGCATGGCTGGATGGGTGGAGGCAGCGTGGTAAAGCCCGCAGAGCTCTGCGCGGCCAGGGGTCTTGACCGTGGTGGAGAGGCCCCCAAACCCAGCCAGCGGCTTCCTGCAGGAGCATTTCTGGATTCTTCTCCACACACCCTCTGGGTCTAGCTGCCTGGAGTAGGCACTGAAGAGTCACCCATGGGCATGTCCCTCGGCTGCAAACAGGAGCCAGGCACCCACACGCCAGCCCGGGGATGGACCCTGAGTCCACAACGCTCAGGGAGGGAACCAGACACAGGAGGCCCTGAGGCGTGTGAGTCCACGTGTGGGACACCTCCAGGACGGGCTCCTCCACGGACAGGGAGGGGACTGGGGGGGGGTGCTGGGGAAGGGGTCTGATACCTGATGGGGATGAGTTTCTTTTTGGTGAGATGGAATGTTCTGGAACTAGATCTCGGTGATGATTGCCCAACTCTGTGAATGTACTAAAAGCTACTCAACCGTATACTTTAAAATGGGGAATCCTACCTTAATTCTGAATATGGGCACCATGGAGTCACCTCCTCCACGGGGCTGCGCCCACCCCGCCAGGTCTGTGCTGTGGGGCAGCCCGACACCCCCCCACTGCCGTCACCCTGAGCATTTACTAAGCGGGCCTTTATCGCTCTGTAAACCATGTTCAAAAGCCAGATAAGCCGCGCAGCAAAGGGCGCCGCAGGAGCGCGCCCGCCGCCGATCGATGGCAACGAGATCTCATTATTAAACTGTCAATACCTAATCCCGCCAGCCTGCGGGGACGGCGCGGACACCGTGGGCGGGAGCTGCGTTAACCCTCCAGTACTGGGCCTCCTCCGCGGGGAAGGGACTGTGCAGGGAGGCACCAGCCCCGGGGCGGGGAGCGGAGGCCCCCCCGCGGAGTCAGAGCCCCCCCCCCCCCCCCCCGCCGACCCCGCGGTGCAGGCCCAGGGGAAGCCAAGGGCTGGGCCCGACAGCAGGAAGGTTTCAGCCCGGGCATGGTACCCTTCATCCGGAGCTTCTGCATCAGTTAGGATGCCCCCTGCCCCACAGTGTGCCTTCAGTTGGGAGCCCCCTGGGGCTGGGCGTCTGGGTCTCCCCTGGAGGCTGCAGCAGGGGGTGCAGGGAGGGCAGCAGAGGTCGGTGGAGAGTGGGGTTCTGCAGGAGCCAGGGGTCACAGACGGGTGCAACGCTGGTCAGTAGGCTGCTCCCACCTGCAGACCCCCCTCCAGGTCCTATGTCCTCAGCCTGCCCCTTGTGCCCACCCACCAACCTGCTTTGGCAAATGCCCACCCTCCCTCCAGTGCTCCGCCTCACGGCAGGGCCGGCAAGAGGGCCTGCCCCCCACCAGCCCTGCTGCAGTAGCCCCGTAAGCTGATCTTTCCCACTCAGAGGCCCGACCCGACCTCAAAGTTCCTCCGGGGATCAGCCCAGCCTGGCAACGGGGGTGAGCACAGACACTAATCCTGCTGACCCGACAGGCAATCGGGGCCTGGGCCACGGTACACACGGGCCACCCCACTAGACAGGACACCCGCAGCGCCCAGGGCCAGAAGCCAGGCAGTCGTGGGGACAGACAGGAGGACAGATGAGCAGGAGGGGCCACCCCTGAGCCCGTGGCCAGCACGTGGCCCTGGGAGGTGGGCGGGCGGTCGGGTAAGCAGGAGTTAACTGCCGGCTTCCTTGCGAGGCTCCATTAGGCAGTACAAGTAAGCCTCATGTAGAAGGATTTTTAATTCATCGTTACAAGTGCTGGTAATGAAGAGGCTGCAAGCTGGAAATGTCAGATGATCCATAAAGCGTCTGGGAGGGAGGATCTATCACGCGCGCCGCGAGCCGCGCCATCACTCCACCTGAATAATGAAGTCTTTCACGCCGCGTTCCTGGAGGATCACCTGCAGGCCCTCGTCCTAATCACCTGTCTGCAGCCGTGAGGCAGGCGCTGGCCTGGCGCTGGCCGCCCTGTGCTCCATGGCCCAGGGCCCCCGCCCCTCCTGCACGGGCTCCCTCCGGCTGTCCCCCCAACCCTGCGAGGGAGCCCCACACCCATGGGCTCTGAGCACCACATCCCACAGGACTCCTCACAAGGCCCATGCCCCAAGCCCCCTTGGCCTCCTGCCCGCCTGCAGCCTTGGGGGAATGACACCCCTGGGACCACCCAGGCGGCCGGATGCGGTCAGGTGCCATGAGACACATCCCTGTCAGAGCCACTACGCACATTCCCGCAGCAAAGCTGTGAACTGGCGGCAATGATGGGCCTGGGAGCAGGAGCCGGTGCACGCATGGCCCAACCAGCGCCGGATGGCTGGGCCCAGTTAATGCCACCACGCAGGAGGCCATGGGCCACCTGACTTACAGATGGGAAGGCTGAGGCACATGGAGGTCAAGGGGTCTGCCCAAAGTCTCGTGGCTGGCCCATGGCTGCGCACAGTCACACTCTGCCCACCCTGCCTGCTGCCCCAGGGGCTCCCCCAGGGTGACGTCCTCAGCAAGAGGAGGTGGCATGAGCCTCAGGGCCACACTCCACCCAAGTCCAGTCCCCTCCTTGCAGCGGGACGTGCAATGAGCATCAAGAGGAGCCGGTTACAGAATTCCTGCAACCAAGCAGCGAAGAAAAGCAGCCTCCAATTTACAAATTAGCAAAGAACCTAAGTAGATATTTTTCCAAAGAAGACATCCAGATAGGTGGCCCACGGGCACATGAAAAAGATGCTCACCATCACTCATCGCCAGGGAAATGCAAATCAAAACCACAGTGAGAGACCACCTCAGCCCTGTCAGGGTGGCTGACATCAACAGGAAACCACAGGGGTCGGCGAGGACGTGGACAGAGGGGAGCCCTGTCGCACTGCTTGTGGGGATGCGAACTGATGCGGCCACTCTGGAGGGCAGTACGGAGGTTCCTCGAAAACTCAGAACCACTGGGGGTGCCTGGCTGGCCCAGGGGTAGAGCATCCAACTCTTGGGTCTCAGCAGTGTGCATTCGAGTCCCGAGTTGGGTACAGAGAGTACTTAAAATTAAAGAAAATAGAACCACCATACGATCGAGGAACTCCACTACAGGGTGTTTACCCAAAGGAAATGAGAACAGGACCTCAGGAGGCATCTGCACCCCCGTGTCCACGCAGCATTATGTGCAGTGGCCAAGACACAGAAGCGGCCAAGTGTCCATCAGCGGAGGAACGGGTAAGGACATATGGCGTGGCCACACGATGGACTACTACCCAGCTGCAAAAAGAAGCAAATCCTGCCATGGGACGGACCTTGAGGACGTCACCCACAGAGAGGAACTGACCCAGAAGGACGTGTCCCGCATAACCCCAGTCCCGGGTGCAGAAAGCAGAGTGGAGGCTGGGGGGAGGGGGCAGTGGCGGCTCAATGTGTGTAAAGCCAGTCATGCTCTGCTGTCCGTGCCGCGGCGGCGTGCCACAGTTAGCAGCGTGGGACAGTGCTGGGAGGCTGTCAGGGTAGATGTCAGGGTTATTAGAAAAGCCGGGGAGGGGGAGTGCAGCTTCCCCCATGTGGGCGGGCGCGGAGAGCACCCACTGCTTGGTGGCTCCCGAGAAAAGAAACCGGTTCGGTGGAACTGAAGTCCACGGCACCAGCCGGCCCACGCCCACACCCCGGCCCACACCCACACCCCCACCCCGGGGCCAAGACGCCCGGGCACCTACCAGCTTCCACCGCTGCTCGGGGATGGCGCTGATGTCCACGGGGTGGCGCTCCATCACGTTCAGGAAACGCACTTCGGGGACCGCGATGGCACAGATCACATGGATCCACCTGGTGGCACGGGGGCAGGCTGGGGTCAGGGCTCAGGGTGCTCCCTGCCCCCGGCCCGCCCCTGCGCCCCACGCCGCCACCGCTGTCACTGCCGCCAGCTGGGGCTTACAGGACGGGACCTTAGTGATGTGCTGGGCGAGCTGCTTCTCCAGGTCCCCCCACCGCTGCCCCCACACCTCAGGTCTGCACACCCAGGGGGAGACCCTCCACCCACCTCCGGTCGGTGGTCTTCTGTAGGGCTCCTCCCGGAGGTTGCAGAGACAGCACTCCTGCGGGAACCAGACGGCCATGGGGTGAGGGTGTGCAGGGCAGGGCTGCCACCTGTCTGTCCCCGTCCCCGGGGCCTGTTCCAGGAAGGGACTGGCCTGGGCAGGGCGTGCATCAGGAGTGCAAGGGCTTCCTGCACTGCCCAGGGGAAGAAACGGAGACCCAGCCAGCCTGGGGTCACCCCAGCGACCAGCCGGGAGCCCCCACAGCCTCAGCGGCTTTCAGAGCGCCACCCAGCTGCAAGGGCGAGTTACCGCAGTCCAGGCGTGTGCCGTGCAGCGGGAACACGTCCAGCCCTCGTTGACCAGCTCGGGGCGGATGCCATAGCAACCTGCAAGATGGGGGGTGCGGCTGAGACGGGGCGGCATCTGCTGCCAGGCCGCGCAGAGCTGCCGGGCCTCCTGGAATTCGGGGGCAGCATTTAGGGCAATTGCTTTCCCCGCCCTCTCCTCCTGAATCCAGGCCACTGCGCACAGCAGGATGGCCTGGAAATGGTTTGTTTGCAACTCCGGTAGGGGTAGGGGGAGGGAGAGGGGGCCCCCCGCCGGGGCTGCTTAGCCCGGGCAGCCCTTGCTGTCTCCAGTCTAGTCTAAGAGGCCCTGCCCGGGCTCTGCAGGCCAGGCAAGGCTGGGAAGCCGGGACAGTAACCCAGCAGCTGTACACGATGCCCAGTGGGCCTCAGGGACACTGCGTTCAGGCCGGGCCCTGTGTTCAGGCAAAATCACTACTTATGAATCATCCAGGTGGTTTGCTTAGAAAAGAGGCAGGGCAGAGGGCCAAGAGGCCGTGCCCTGGAGCGAGGGCCATGCCTCACCCCCGGGGTCACCATCCAGCAGTTCCTCGCCAGCTGGGATCCTGTCACCTGGCAGACGGGGGCTCTGCTGGCTGGAGTGGGCCGTGCCAGTGCCACAGGGTCCCAGGGAAACACGGCAGAACAGCAGGGGAGCAGAAAGTGTCCCTACAGAAGCCCCACAAGACAGCCTGAGCCCGGCCCCCCCTGCTCTGAGCCCTGGGGGCACTTGGCCAAGGTTGGGGCCCAGTGGGGGCCAGACTCCGGGAAGAAGAGGGGGCTCCACCTCACTCCAGGGCCCGGTCTCTAGGAACTATGCTGAGCTTCTGCTCCCGGGCTCATCCCCACCTGCACAGCCCGATTCAGGCCCCTCCAGACGTCTGTCTGGTGGGCTCAGCCTGGGCCTGCCCTGCCATCCCCCAGGAGCCTGCCCACCCAGGAGCACATCTCACACCTGGACCCAGCAAGGCAGGGCGGACAGGCTCCCAGCCAGGGGACAAGATGAGCTCTGGGCAGGCCTCTGCAGGGGCTGGATGGAGACCTAGCTTCCCTCCTGTCCCGGCAGCTCATTCCCGCACCTGCTGCCCCAATGCCTGAGAAGGGGGCACACATCCATTTTCTTGTCTCCAGCTAAGTCGGGCCCTCAGGCTTTGGGAGAGAGTGATCGCCCACGGCAAAGAGAGATCGGACCCCCAAGACCACTCTAGAATCTCAGCTTTATCATCAACTCGGACTCTTGCCCCAAAGTGCGGAGTTTGGAAGCCTCACAGCACTTTCAAATCAGGCGATGGGCACTTCATTTCTTCCCGCCGCTGCCAGAACCCAGAGGGGAGGACAGGCCTCAGTGGAACCGTCAGAACCAGCCAGGGGAAAGGCTGCCCAGGTCCTGTGACACCCCAAAGCAGCAGCCCAGAGGGAAGGGGCTTGCTGGCTCCAGAGCCGAGTGTGGCCACCAGGGACGGTGAAGCAGGGGGTGCCACAGACCCCACAGCTCTCCCCCACCGGCTGCCGGCCCGGACCCAGTACTCACTGGCATGGACCTGCAGGCAGCACTTGGCACAGGCAATCAGCAGGCTGGTCCCGTCGTCTCCGATGTAGGAGTTGGCAGGGAGGGGCTCCGTGTTCTCACCGCTGGAGGTGAAGCACATCTCGGGGATCAGTGGCCGGGTCTTCTGGCCACTTTTGGAAGGAGGAGCAGCCGAGGGACCCTCCCCGAGTGAGGCCTGGGGAGCCTCCTTCTCAGTCTGTAGGGACTGCAGGAGGAGGGGGCTGCCTTCAGTGGGGAGACACCTGATGCAGGCAAACCAGGCTGGGCACCACGGCCATCCTTACTCTGCCCTCTGCCCGCCCCTTATGCGGCCTCTTCCTCTAAATACCCTCCCCCCTCCAGCCTGCTCTTCACTGTTCCCTGCAGTTGCCCCATCCCACCCTCCCAGCCCTCAACCCTGACCCAAGAACCCTCAAGAGATCCTCCTCAAACACAGACCCTGTCCTGCCCCTGCTGAAAACCCTCCCATTTAGGGTCACATTGGCACGGACACTGTCCTGCTGCCCTCATGCCCCTCGATCATTCTGCTCCAACCACACCAGCCTCCTCGCTCTGCCTCCAACACCCCAGGAGCCAGGCACCATGCTGCCCCAAGGCCTTTGCATGTACCATTCTCACTACCAGGAACATTCAGATGTCTGTTCGTATAGGCTCTAGAGGCCAGCCCGCCACCTCTGCTGTGTGCTCTGTGGTCCTGACCAGCACCTGCCACTGTCTACTCTGTGAACCTATACGGGTGTTCTCCCTACCTCTGATGTATGCCCCATAAAGGCTGTACCCCAGTCCTCACTGACCCCCCAGGCCCCATCACATGAACAGAGGATGCCAGTGGCACCAGGTCCAGCACCCTCCAGGCCTGTCTCAGGACAGCGGGATTCCCTGTACCCACAGGGGAGTGGCAGGGAGACTCTGCACAGCTCCTGACCCAGGAGGGAAAAGCTCCGCTGGGTACACCCCACCTGGCACCTCAAGCTAAGGGACCAGCTGATTCCCAAACAGGCAGAAGGCCCAGCAAGGATTCTTCTCAGCCTCATGGGACAAGTGGGGCCTGGCCCCGGACCCCAAGGGCTCTGGCAGCAGAATGCCACCGGAACTGTGGGTGCAGTGAAGTTTAGCCACTGGGCACAAGGAGATTTGTGTCTCAAGCTGAGCTCCCAGCACCCTGACTCCCAGTCCCAGCAGCACTAACAAGGGACACGCCTGGAGAAGACGTCTGTGTTCTGTCCTGGAGATGGCGCTCCAGGCAGCGCTAAGCAGCCGTGCCTTAGACAAGCACACTGGCCTCCGCTAGCCTTGGTGTGGGGCACAGATCTCGGGGTGGGGGTGCTTAGCTAAGTGGGTACTAGGCTAGGCGCCAGGGATGCAGAATCAACTGAGTCCATCCTCCAGGGACTCACAGTCCAAGGGCAGATAATCACAGATGGAGCAAGAGCAGAGGTGGTGGGAGACACTGGGGTGTGGTGTGCCCAGGGACAGCAGATCCAGGAGGGCTTCATGGAAGAGACGGCAACTGAAGAGACTCAAAGAATGAACAGAAATCTGTCTGGCAGGGCACCTGGGTGGCCCAGTGGTTGAGTGTTTGCCTTCACTCAGGGCATGATCCCCCGGTCCCAGGATTGAGTCCTGCAATGGGCCCCCTGCAGGGAGCCTGATTCTCCCTCTGCCTCTGTCTCTGCCTCTCTGTGTGTGTCTGACTCTCGTGAATAAATAAATAAAATATTTAAAAAAGAAAAAAAATAAATCTGGCAAGAGAGGGGGCTGGTGAGGTTGGATGGGACGGACCCTGGCGGTCAGCATGGACCACGCTGTGGCTGTGGGCATGGCGCGGGGCATCCTGCGAGTCTGGGGCCTGCAGTGAGCCTGGTGGAGTTTTCAGCCAGGAGCACATGGCCAGAGCAGCCTCCAGAACACGTGCCCGGGCTTCAGTGGGGCACCAACAGAAAGGGCTCCTGCCAGGGCAGGTGAGGGAGGAAAGATCTAGAAGGCAGATTAGGATTGGGGAGGAGCCACAGGGAGGAACCAGAGGTTGAGAGGGCGGGACCTGGTGGCTGGCGGCCCAGGACAGAGGGTGGGGAGAGGCCAGGTCCCCAACTTGGGAAACACAGGACAGAACCGGGCCCAGGTGGGAATGAGTGCAGGGCGGGGGTGCCTGGCTCGGCAGAGGCCACCTGGGGTTCCTCGCCGGTCCGTCTTGGTGGGGGGAGCAGGGCTGCTGCCCTGGCCCCAGTCTGCCTCTCACAGCCCAGCCTCGCGCTGCTCCTGGCAGGTCGAGGGGCTTGCAGGGGACAGCCCCTCTGCCTGCCTCCATGCCAGTGCCCCCCAACCGGCTGCTGTGCTCACATGCCTGTGAATAAGTCACTTTCTGGTAAAACTCAGAAACCAGGCTCTCTCTCGTCCCTGCAGCCCTTCCGAGGGAGCCTCGACTTCACGTGCCCAGGACTGCCAAGGGCATGCACCTGTGACCCCTTGGCTGTCCTGCCTGTCAGGTCAGGTGGCCCGTCAGGCCAGGCTCTGTGCACGGATCTCACTGCAGTTCCCGCAGCAAAGGGCTTCTTGGTTTCCACCCCCCTCCCCCCGCCCGGAAATCCCCCAGGCAGAGCAAACGCCCGGAGCGCACGTAGACGCAGGCCGGCACCCACCTGGCTGTAAGGGTAGAAGAGGGTGCAGATGGCGCAGTAGGGCTCTGTGAGCGCGGCCGCCGCGTTGAACTTCCTCTCGGCCTGGAAACTGGCAGCCTTGTTCTTCCACTGCAGTGAGAGCAAAGACCTCAAGGCCTCGGGGTCACTCACGTCTTCCTCCCCGGAGAAAGGGAAGGCTTCTAGAGGAAAACAGGAGGGCGGGAGGGGACGGAGAGAAACCTCGGCATGGCTGGAGGCCCTGAGGAACCTTTCCTTCCCCGCCCTCCGGGGCCTTTACTGCTGCACACAGGCGGGGGTGACAGGTCCCCAGTTCTCTGGCCATGGCCGTGGCGGGGCTGGCTCAGCCTCCGCGAGCTCAATGGAGCTGAGCCAGGGGTGCGTCTGGGAGTCGAGGAGGGGGTAAGGGTACTCCAACACACTCCAGTGACTTAGCATCACCACCAAGATGAAAGCCACCAACATGTGTCCCCCCACCCCACCTGTCACCTGTCCCGGCTGGCCCCTGCTGGCCTCAGGTACCAGCCAGCCACACCCCAACCCCCCGATGTCCTGTTACTGTATCTCCTGAGGACACAGGGCTGAGCTTCAGTGCCCCGCAGGAGGCTGCCCTGAGAAGTGGGGGCTCATTTCTGAGGCCTTGACCTTTGTGGCAGCTGGGCCGGCAAGGCACGGTGGGAAGAGAAAGCAGGAGCCTGGAGTCCTGGGTATGGGACTCAGGACTCACGACAGTGAGGGGGAGGTCAGCGCAGACCCCCTGGGATGGACGTGCAGATCCTCTATGGCCTTGGGGGACTGGGCCTAACTCGGGCCAGGACTGTTCTGTCTGAGCAAGCCCCCGGCAGGCCCTGGCTCCCAGCAGGCGACAAGAGCTGCTCGCCTGCCTCCCGTCACACCAAAGATCGCAGGACACACACTGGGCTCTGGGAGGCCTTGGAGGCACCTTCTAGAAATGATGTAACAGCCCTTAGCTGCCTGCAGGGCTCCGGTTGCCTCCAGCCCTCCTATAAGCTCCCTCTACTCTTAGGGGCTCTGGCTCTGCGATCCCAGAAGCTTCCAGAATCCCTCCTCGCCCTAGCCCTCAAATCTGACTCAGTATGAAAGGAGCCATCCAGATGACTTGCAAAATCCACGTGCATCTTACACGAAAGGCTGAAGCTGGCTCAGCAGGATTTTCCCAAGAGGCCGTGCCTCTGGCTCTCAGCGGCATCCCGGCCCCCAGCTCCACAGGGCGCGTGCTCCGGTCTCCCCGCAGCCGCCAAGGGCCAGGGCTCAGCGGCAGGAAGAGGCCACCAAGGGAGCGGCCCGGCCACAGGTCAGGTCATGAGCGGCTCTGGTAGTGGCTGCGCCCCTGCTCCTCCAGGCAGCGTGGTGCTGCTCCCGCACGCGGGGCACGGGGGTGGCAGAGCCAGGACGTCCCCCAGCCCGCACAGCCCTGCGATCCTCTAACTCTGAGTCATTTCCCAAACTCCAATGCGGGGGTGCGGCCGGCACAACCACGTCCTTCTCTCTCGCCCGCTGGCCCGCCCTACGAGTGTCCCGGGGCCTACTGGGCACCAGGCCTTCCCAGCAGATCTGGAGCCCGACAGAGAAGGCATGGCCCGCACCTGCCTTGGGGGCCAACTAGGGATGTGGGTGTGTGGGGGCCGCGGGGGAGCCAGCCCAGGCCTGGGGTGGGAGCCTCTGGCGAGAACAGAGTCCACTCTGCTTCCACAAGACGCGCAGGGGCAGGAGAGGTTCTTGCAGAGCATGACAGCAGGTGCGCGGCAGAGGCCACAGCCTCAAACAGCAGCGCGAGCGGTAACCCAGCCTCAGCATGCCCGGCACCCGGCACGGGCTCAGCACCACGCGGCGTGCCTTCTAGGCACTGGCTCCCTGCACCTTCCTGGCAGGGCGCCTCTCGAGACTGGCAGCCCCCACTCTACAGATAGGGAAACTGAGGCACACCAAGGTAACCGGCACCATGGTCTTGGGCTCTGGGCGGCAGGCTCTGGTCTGAGCCCCAGTGACCTGTAGCCAGCCCCTCACAGGCCGTGTTCGTTTCAAGCTCTGGGACCAGCACAAAGCAAGCACCCCAAGGTGGGAAACAGGGCAGATGGGATGGGGGCCGTGCCTCGGGAGGCCCTGCGGGGAGCACTGTGGGCGGGGTGGGGGCAGCCTGGCCTGACGGTCCATGCAGGGGAAGAGTCTGGGGGCCTCACCCTCGTCACTTGAGGCCTCCTGCTTGACCACGGTCAGTGGGGAGCGGGTGGGCGGCTTGCCCAGGGGGTGACGCCGGCTCTTCTTGATCTCCATCTTCAACTTGGAGAACGTGGCTGGTGCCTGAAAGCAGAACAGGGGCGTCTGCAGAGAGCCCGGCCCATGAGGGCAGAGTGGTGCCTGGCCCCCCAGCGGGCATGTCCCCAATCATGGGTGCAAGGCCCCAGGAGGGGGTTGCCGGAGCACAGGGCAGGTGGGATCCCCAGGCCCCAGGGACCTCCACTGGGCCCTACCTGCACCTCGCCGGCTCTGCTTTCCTCCTCGGGACCCGTCAGCTCCATGGGGGCCGCCTGTTCCTTCCAGGTGGGGCCCCTCTGGGCAAAGTGCTCAAAGGCCTGCTGGCAGGACACGCGGCCCTTGTCACACCCCGTGCTGGGCCGCGGCACCACGTACAGCATGGGGATGATGGGGCGCGGCTTCACCTCTGGCTCCTCGCCAGGTGCCTCGGGGGGCACGACGTTGAGAGGTGGTGGTGGGGGGGTCTCCTCAGCCGGCACGGAGCCTGGGGCCAGGATCGGGAGCTCCAGTGGGGGTGGCAGCCTGGGCGCCTCCTCGGCGGGGAACTGGGTGGGCAGGGGTGGCGGCAGCTGGGGCAAGAGGGGGTGGTGGGGATGCGGGGGGCCATAGCTCTTCTTCTTTCTGTCGCTCCTGGCCTTGGCCAGCCGCAGCTTGCCCCTCCCATCTTCTGTGGGGAAAGAGGAAAGACGGTCAGAGGTGGGGCCAGCAGCCATGCGTCCCGCGAGCCCCCCAGCCGAGGCAGGACACGACCTTCCCCTCCAAACACACGCTTCCCACCAGCTCAAACTGTTACCCAGGTGGCCAGAAACCAGTCATGCCCGAGCCTGGGGTGGCCCCAGTCCCCGCCCTCCGGGGTCTGCCAAGTGCTCAAAGGGCCTTCTGGAATTAAATGGTAAGAAAGCAGCTGGGAAGAGCTGCTTGTGGTTCTGGGCTCCTGCCCGGGGGCTGCTCTGAATGTCCTCCCTGAGGACTGGGGTAGATGCAGGACGGCGTCCAGGCTTTGTAAGTTCTACACGTAAACCGTGCATCCTATACAATTTTTAAAAGTTAAATCTTGACGAGCAAACCATGAGAAGTGGTCACTTGAGCAGAACACAAGGGCCAGATGGGCCTGGAGGGCCGTCCCAGGGGAGTCCCGACAGGTGACAGGGCAAGGAGGGGGCCGGAGGCGTGTCTGCAGGGGCCTGTTAACTGGGGGCCAGTTCACCAGATCGAAATGAATGGCGGGACGTTTGGCAGAATCACAGTCCCCAGGGGCACCGGGGTGGCTCAGGTCACGATCTCAGGGTCCTGGGGTCGAGCCTTGCGTCCAGCTCTCTGCTCAGCGGGGAGTTGATCCCTGGAAGCCCGGGATCTTTCCCTGCTGTGGTCAGAGGGAGGTAAACTGCGGCCCCGCTGGCTCTGACGATGGAGGGGCCACGAGCCGAGGACACGTTACCTCCAGAAACTGGAAAAGGCAGAGAACACGCTCTCTGCCCTGGAGGCTCCAGCAAGAGCCAGCCCTGCCCACATCTGTGAGGCCTCCAAGAGTCTGTGGTCACTGTCACAGCAGCCACAGGTGGTGGCCTTCGTGAGGCCTGCCGTGCCCAGGGCGAGGAACGCCTGGCATTGGGGACCTCTGCCCATGAAGACAACCAGCCAGGTGGCCCACTGGAACACAGAAAGCCCTGGAACCTTCGGGCCTGGCCTGCCCTGCTGGAGAACACGACCTCAGGCCCTCATCTGTACAACCCAGCTTCCCAGGGGCAAGAAGTCACATAAGGAGTGACGGCAGCGACCGTCTGGCCTGCCCGGGACTGAGGGTGTCCCGGGGAACCCGGGATGAGGCAGTCAGCCCGCTGATGGTCCTCGGGAGGCCTCCGTGGGAGGCTGCTGGTATCTGTTTTATGGTCTTGGTCTCCCTGACCTGGCCTGGGGAAAGGTTAAACTGGGGGCCAGGGTTCTACCCGTCTCCATGCTAAGGCACTGGCGGGCGAAGCATGCAGAGCTCGGGGTTGCACCCACATTTTACCTCTTGTTATAAAAGCCCATCCAAGCAACAGGCCTGCCCCCCAGCCACGGGGGATGAACAAGTGCAGGTGACCTTGGGAGGGATGGCAGCCCTGCCCGGCTCTGGGACAGCCCGTGCCGTCCTGTCCCTTTGTCTCCAGCAGGCACGCACCCCATGTTCTTCAAGAGGCTCCAGCAGTCCTAAGTAGAAGGGAGCACTCGGCCCTGCCTGGCTCAGGCCCCAGGACCTGGGCATCCCAAGGGCACCTGTGCTGCTCCTCCCTGCGCTGCTCCACCTAGAGGAGCCCTGAACTGCTCCCCAGGCCCCCTCCTGCCTGCATCTCATGAATAGTTATCAGGCTGAGAAAGCACATAATAGACGCTCTGCTCCACAGACAAAACTGGTGCTCCGTCCAGACGCTGGACTTGGATGGCTCCCTGCAACGAACGGGAGCCCGTGGAGCTGGAGAGGGGTGTGTGTGTGTGTGTGTATGCGCGCGTGCGTACAGGGGTGGAGGTGGGGCGAGAAGGGGGGTGGAGGGGAGAGGTGTGTGTTAGGAGGTGGGGGTGGGGCGAGAGATGGGGAGATATATGTGGGGGAGACATGGAGGGGAGAGATGCTGGGCTGGGGAGAGACAAGGCTGGAGGAAGAGTTGGACGGGGACGGGGGGATGACTCGGGGCCCCAGGACACCTGGCCGTGCCGGCAAGTGGCGAGGCGGGTGAGGGCTGCCCGCAGCCCTGCTGTTCCAGTCATTTATAGAAAGGGCGACCAGGCTGCCCTATTTGTGTGAAAGGCACTTTCCAATCAACAGCTTTGTTCTCTAAGGAAACTCAGGGCTCGCTCCGCCCTGACGGGGCGAACCTATGGGATGGAACGCAAGCTGAGCTCTCCCCAGCCTGAGGACAGTGGGACCTACTTATTGTCTGTTTACTCTCAAGCAGGAGGCTCTGCTGTCAGGAAGGAACGTGCCCGGCCCCTTCCCATCTCCTAGGCTCTGAGAAACCCAGGGGGACACAGCCGGAGGACCGTTTTCAGGGACAAGCCAGTGGCCAGGAAGGGCACCTGGGTGCTCGCCGTGGGGACCACCACAGGCCCAAGGCAGGGGCCTCACCTGCCTCAGTCTGAGGGAACCCAGAAACAGAGCAGGGGACAGACACACAGACAGGGCTGAGGGTCCCAGCCAGGTGTGCCCCCAGCATGGGAGCCTCTCCCCTCCCCCGAGAACGGCAGGGACTCCCCCTCCGCTGCCCAACCTCAAGCTGAGGCTCTGGAATGGGGGGTGTCCCACCCCGAGGAGACAATACCCCGCCCTTCCTGGGGACCGTGTGCCCCTAGAAGCTGATGGGGCCCCAGGACGAAACTGGGGAGGAGGACAGGGGGGCGGCTACAGATGCTGGGAGCGAGGCAGCGTTCTGCACGGCCCCTTCTGTGTGGCTTGCGTTCGTTCGGCAGCTTGCAAGTGTTACTCTCGGGGTACACGGAGTCCCGGCTTTAGGATAAGTCACAGCCAAGAACTGGCCCCCTAGCTTTAGACTTGAAAGCCCTGCTTGGTTGGGGAGCACACCTGTACGGGACCAAGGTGCCCCCAGGGAGGTGCATGGGAGGGCGTGCTAGGTCCCCGGGCCCCTAAGCTCAGGGGTGCTGCCCGTGGGGAATCCCAGGGTGGTGCCCAAGGCTGCTGCCTGCTTTAGGCACCTCCTCCCAGCCTGGGAGAGCTGGTCCTGGTGCCCAGGGTCTCCACACTCTTCCTGTGCAGAGCCCGAGGCAGGGTACACCCGTGGTCCTGAGGCCCGGCTGCACAGCGCTGGGGGACGTGTGTCCTGTGTGACCGGACACGCGTCCAGGTATAAGTAAGTCACAGCCCCTCATAAACTCGGGCCTGGCCTCTACTCTGCTGGCTGCAGCTGCTTTGGTTGTCCCGCCCGAACACTGTGTGGCCACTCCTGACACCCATGGCTCCATGAGCCCCCTGGCGCCCCCTCCCTGAGCCCCAGGGCTGGGCCAAGCTCCCCGAGGCCCAGGAGCTAGAGCCTGTCCAGCCCTCAGGATAGGGGCCACAGCCACATGCTCTACCTGGGGGTCAGGGTAGCACATGGTGGAACCAGCGCCCTTCAGTCCACCCGAAGGGACAGTGGCCATACCTAGCCACAGATGGGGGTGAATTCCCGTGAGACAGCAGTGACCCCCTAGGAGGAGGGAGCCCCCGATGACCAGCAAACCAGGGTGGACATGGGCTGCCTTTCTACCTCCTGCTCAGGACCCCCCAGGTCGGGGTTGGGGGTGGGAGGAGGCTGCTGCTCCAGGTGCCACAGGGCAAGGGCTCTTCCCAGATGGCCTGGCAGGGGGAGCAGGGTGGGGACACCAGCAAGCAGCCCTGGCCCCTCCCAGCCCTGAGGAGGCTTCCTCCTGGGGACAGTCAGTCCCACCTCCTTGTCCCGTGCAGAGCCCCAGGCGCCTCCACTCCTACCCACTACCTCCCCGGGCCTGCCGTGCATCGGTGACAGCATTCACTGTTCTCACTTTGCAAACCCAAAACAAAATGCCCTACTGCTTGCGCACAACATGAATCTCAGCACTCACAGCTTTTAGGGACATTAAGCTGGTATTAACGGAAGCCTAGAAAGCACTTTAAAATCTTCCACTCATTCCCCGGACGTGTATTTGCCATCACCCCTGACTGTGAGCACTTGTTTATTCAATGAATTCGGTTATTTTCTCTCCAAGGGCTCGAGGGATGGCACACAGGGCACTTCTGACCATGGCACAGGGCACTGGGCTGTGGCAGCCACATCCGGCAGCCCAAAGGGCCCCCTTCCTCTCTATAGAGGCCAGACACCCCAAGTCCTCCTCCTTCCAGGCTCCTGTGTGGAGCAGGGACAGCGTGTCTGGAATGGGGGTGTTCCACCCCGAGGAGACAACACCCCGCCCTTCCTGGGGACCGTGTGCCCCTAGAAGCTGATGGGGTCCCAGGACGAGACCGGGGAGGAGGACAGGGGGCGGCTACAGATGCTGGGAGCGAGGCAGCAGTTCTGCATGGCCCCTTCTGTGTGGCTTGTGTGCGATCGGCAGCTTGCAAGTGTTACTCTCAGGGTACATGGAGCCCCGGCTTTAGGCAGCAGCCACCTCAGAAGGGGAAACCAGAGAAGAGCCGGAGGCTCACTGGGAAAGGGCCCTTGATGGGTCGGCTCCGGCTGGGAATCCCAAGAATCATGGAGGCCAGACCCCCGGAGTCACCAGGACGGGACTGGGCAAAGCAGCCAAGAGCCGGCGACACCCCAGGCAGTGGGCGGTGGGAGTGGGTGAGATTCGTTGTCTTTAAAGAGTCAGTAGATTTGAGCAAAGATTTGTTACAATTAAGTTAACAGAGAAGAGCCACCATCCCTTTGCTAAGCAGCCCGGTCGGCACATGTATGTCTTGTCTTCCCTGCCGCCCTCCGTCCGGCGTCAGCCCAGTCGGCCCCTCGAGTCTGCTCAGGAGGGCGAGACGTGCCAGTGGCTGTGATGTTGCCTTTCGACTCTTCCCAGGAGGGCCCCGTTGAAACCCTGTCCCTCCTGACCACCTGAACCGCTCAGCCAAGGAGTCCAGCTCCAGTGGGACCTCCGTGAGCCCTTTCTACTCAAGCACAAAGCCACTTCAAGCTAAAACCAGCCAGGTGCACTATGTTTCCTCCACTGATTTCAGCCGGGCTTTCTCCCTGTTAGGGGCCAAACTGTGCTCCCCAAATTCCCATTGTGAGGTCCTAACCCTGGAACACCAGAGTTGCGAGGCCACAAACATCTGCTGCTGAAACCTGCAGCCCGGGGGACTTTGTTACGGCTGCCTCAGCGGACCCTAGCACCCCCTGAACAATGCAGTGTCTGGGGGTGTGTTCTCTGAACCTGAGAGACACGGGATGCAGCGCATGTGTGCCCCGTGACATTGAGGCTATGTCTGAGAGTCGTTCTCCCAGGCACAGAGCGGTGGCCTTCATTTCCGCCACCCACATGGCCAGGGCGAGCTCCCACTCCCGTCCTGCATAGACCACCAGTCTGACGTCAGGTCGGGCAGCCTGACCTCTGCTGACCCCTGTCCTCGGACCTCTCGCCCTCCGTCCGCACCTAGGTCAGCACCCCGGAACCCGGCTGGGGCTCTGAAGGGGCTGCGCAAACCTGCACGCATTTAGAGGAAACCGCGTCCTCCTATCAGGGAGCTCACGGGACACACACCCTTTAGATGGCGATCCTTGTTTTTCAAAAAATCTAATTTTTTCAGTAAAACCCCCCCCTTTTTTTTTTTTTAACTTTCTGTTGGGTTTATCTCAAGGTGCTTTACTTTTCGGTGACCTTTATTATGAGCAGCATCTTCTTGAAAACACTGCTCAGCACGGCCTCCCGTCTGATGACCAGCCCTCTCCAGGTCCCACTGGAAAAGGAGCCAGCCCAAGAAGCCCAAGGCAGAAGCCTCCATGTCGCCAGGGCCACTCTCCTAGAGGAGCCCGGTGGCTTGAAGGAGGACGCCTCGCGGGAGGCTGACCCCGAGGAGGAAGGTGTGCCCAATGCCCGGGCCACCCTGCAGCTTGGCCACTGACCCACCTCTGGGCAGGTGACTGCCCATGCTGACAGTGGTGACGCATTCTTCCTCTCCCTGCCTTGCCCTTCTGGGCTGTCTAGACCCCCTGTCCACCGGGCAGACAGGACCTCCTGAGTGTCGATCTCACCGCCCCCCGCCGTGAGCTCCTGGGGGCCCCTCCACGCCAGACACTCCCTCGCCCTACAGAGGGTAGGGGCAGACACACAGTTGCTCCCTAACCACCAGCCTGTGGGCACACTGGGGGTGCCATGGCCTGTCTGCTGAGCAGACCCTCGCCCAGGCCTCAGATTGCACCCCCAGAGTCACATCATCTCTGCCACCAGCCATGGGGCATCCCAGTGAGTGTACAAGCACAAGACAGGCTCCCTCAGAGGGAGACTCAGGACCGGAGCGGGATTCTCTGGTGACCTCTGCCTGAGATGCTGTTGCCAGGGTGACCCGCCCTCCAGCCCAGCCCCTCCTTCATATTTGGGGGGCTCCTGCTGTGTGCACACAGGTGAGCAGGTGATGCTTCAGTGAGGAAATGAAAACAACCATAAAAAAGCAGCAGCGCCATAAACTGTCAGAGTGGGGGCCCCTTCCAGCTCTCACAGGTCGCTACCCCACCCCTCGAAGCCCCCGTGCAGTGTAAGGGCACGTTTCTGCCACCTGCCCCCCACTGACAGCCCCACAATGCCACCAGCCAGGTGAGGGTCCATCCCTGAGTGCAAACATCCACCTGCTGGTCCGGCTGCCAACAGCAGGCTGCTGTCTCTCGAGGGTCAGATGACACCTCTCTCAGGGGTTGAGGACCGGTGGCCCCCAGATTTGGGTGCTGTAAGCTGAAGCCCAAAGGGACGGCGGTGTCAGGAGGTGACAGGGGGATGCAGGTGCTGCCCTGGTGAATGGGATCAGCGCCGTTCTAACGGAGGGTGGAGAGGCGGCCGGCTCTCTCCTCAGGCGAGGACACAGCGCAGGCATCTTGCACCAGACCCTGCCAGGCCCGCACCGGGTCTGACTCCCAGCCTCCAGGATAAACGCTGCTTGGAAGCCCCCTCCCCCCGCCTGTGGTCTTGTGCCTTAGCAGCTGGGGCAGAGACAGGGAGTCTTCAGTTTCTGGGAGAAAAGAGTCTTTTCACGGCACCTCCCCACCGAGTGCACGTTTTTAGAAGCCCCACCCTGTCAAGGAAACAGCTGAGCTGGACTCTTAGGAGCGGGGACTCTCCCCAGCAGCTGGGGGTCAGGGAGGAGGTCCCCGGCCAAGACTGACCTTCTGTGGCCTCGGCCTCCCGGCCCTGCGGCGGCAGCGGCTGGGGCTCTTCCTCCTCTTCCTCGGCATCGGCCTCCTGTGAGGCCTCCTCCTTCAAGCCGCCAGGCTCCTCAAGGAGAGCGGCCCCGGCGGCCCCCTCCCCTGGCGACTTGGGGTCCTCTGCCTTGGGCTTCTTGGGCTGGCTCCTTTTCCGGTGGGACCTGGAGAGGGATGGTCATCGGACAGGGGGTCAAATGACTGGGAGAAGCCCCATCTGTGTGCCCCACAACCCAGCCAGCAGAACAGAGCCCCAGACGGTGCCCCAAAGTCACAGGGCCCAGGGCCAGCGGGGCTGGCTCAGGGGCAGGGGAGGTGGAAGGGGAGACAGGCCCCAGGGGCCACATAGGACAGAGCAGGTGCTGATGACCAGGAGGTGGGATGGTGGGGGTGCTGGCTTGGGGGGAGGGGAGGTGGAGGGGGGCACGGTTACAGGTCCAGGGGCTATGTGGGGCAGAGCAGTGCCAATGACCAGGAGGTGAGATGGTGGGGGGGCTCGCTTGGGAGCATGGGAGGTGAAGGCTGGACAGGCCCAGGGGCTATGTGTGGCTGAGCAGGTGCTGATAGCCAAGAGGTGGGATGGTGGGGGCACTGGCTTGGGGGCAGAAGAGGTGGAGGTGGGGGACAGGCCCAGGGGTGCATGGGGTAGATCAGATGCTGATGACCGGGAGCTGGAATGGTGGCGGTACTGGCGCAGGGGAGGCAGTTGGGGGGCACTGGGAGGGTGGGGCACCAGCTGGGGGGGACAGGGGAGGTGGTGGGGGGCAGTAGGAGGGTGGGGCACTGGCTCTGGGGGTGAGGGGCAGGGGAGACAGAGGGGTGCAGAGGGAGGGTGGGCGCCGGCTCGGAGCCGCTGTGCGGTGGGGCGGAGGCGGGTGGAGATGGAGATGGCTGCGCACGAGGACAAGGTGCACTTACGGCGGCCCCGGCCTCCTGGGCTGCTCCCTCTTCCTTTCTAGACTGGCCTTCCTGTCCTCCTCAGTCTTTCTCCAGTGTCTGTTTTCTTTCAGACTAATTTGTCTAGAATGTAAACGTCAGGGAGTTTTTGTCTAGCACCTCTGACTCCCCGGACGCCTCATCTAAGGGCCTGGCTTCGGGCACCTGCCCATCCCCGAGCTCTGCGTCCCTCACCGCCGGCTGCCGGGGCAGGGGGCCCGGCCTCGCTCAGGGTTGCCACCCTTGGCCTTCAGCCCCAAGTGGAAGTCACCCAAGACTCAGCTACGGCTTCTCAGCACAAACCAAAGAGAATTGGGTCAAAGGAAGAAAGGACTATAACCGGGCTGGACAGGCCTGCCCGTCGGGCTCCAGAACTTTCCAAGGAGGGGACAGAAACGGCTTCTAGGCTGACACCAGGGTATGTGACTGGCCCAGAGCTGGGGCACAGGCTGCGTGTGCACAAGCCTGCCTTGGGCCAGTGAGTGGCACCCTCCAGGGGTTGGGGTGACCCCTGCGGGGCCTCAGACTCAAGCCCCGTAATCCGCTAGCCTTTCTTCTGCCAGAGTGTCAGCCACACCAGGAGAGGCACTGGCCACGGCTTCCCTCCCCCCAGAGGGTCTCCTTGTGGCTGCCGCACCTTCAAGGACCAAGAGGTCACCAAGCAGAGCAGGGCCAAGTGACTGGGGCCAGCTGGGGGCCTGGGGAGGCCCTGAGGGCTCCCGGTGCCAGGACCCCCGTCTCCCACCCAGGGGCGCCCACAACGGCCCTGCTGGCCCAGGACACAGGGGCCTGACGGCTGCCTCACCACCTTCCCCGTGCCTGCCCCTGCCGGCTGCTGGGGGCCTCTCCTGACTGTCCCCTAACGCTCACTGTGGCTGGTCCCTCTCACTGCTCAGCTGCCTCACTCAAGGGCCCCTGGCTTGTCGCTGCTCATCTGCCCCCAGCCCAGGTGAGGCCAGGCTGACAAGCCCCGGGTGATGTTCGCGCATGAACCACTCCGATGACCAAAGGCGGAAAGCAGGGGACATTCCAGGGCAGGGAGTGTCATGGCAGAAGCATGGCGTCACACACATCATGGCGTGCACGGGTCACTGCGGGGGACGGGGTGCAGGGGGGACAAGAAAGCCAGGCGGGAGGGGGCACGGGAGCCGGGAGACCAGGGGGTTGGGGGGGAGAACGCACGCTGGCACCACAGAGCCCCTCAGGGCTCCATGCGGAGCGACTTTGGGAAAGGCGAGCCCCGCTTGGAAACAAGCCCCAGGACGGCAGCAGAGTGTAGTTGGCTTTTGTCACCAGCTGTCCCCCCAGGAGGGGCTTCTCTCCAGGTCCAGGAATGCGGCAGGGCAGGGTAACCATGAGCAAACCCCCATGCTGGCCCCAGGCAGCAGCCAGTACGAGGGGGTCCTCCTACCATCAACTCACTTGGCCCCGGTTCCCCGCAGCCCCTCTCTTCCCCTCCTCTCCCCTGACCCTGGAACTGGAGGCCACTCGTGGTGCTGCCAGCCACTCCCAGGGCAGACCGCCCCAGACAGCCAGGGCCTTCCTCGGCCCCCTGGCACCCCGGGGCTCCGAGCTCCGGGCGTCGAACCCCAAGCGCCACCAGACCTTGCTAATGCGGAGACCCCAGCACGGGTTGGAACCAGACTGAAAGACCCAGGCGGAAGGCCCCCCCTACTGCAGGGGGGAAAAGCAAGCCGAACGTCAGCAGACAGAGAGATAGCTGTCTTGTGAAAACATAAGCTGGAAGACGGTGTAGCCAGTTTGTGGGAGCTGCAGGAAGAGGCGCACCCCGGCTAGCTCCCGATGAGCCGCCTCCCCCGCTTTTAGCTGTGTGTCTGCTCGTCTCCCCCTCTGCTGCTTCTTCCACCATGCTCCCAGCACGACACACAGGGTGGAGCCACCCTGCCACCCCCAGGCCCCCCCGCTTCTCTCCCTGCAACTGCCACCATGATCAATGTGGTGAAATTCATATTACCGTGTCCCTGACTCTGTAGGTATCATCCATCCTTGAGTGACAGCTGCTCGCTCGCTCCTCCTGGAGTCGGCAACTGGCCTGTCTTAGAGGGTTAGCTCTCGTGGTGATCTCCAAGCTCGTGTGAGGCTTCTTACACGGGGCGTCCCACACTCCTTGATGACCCCCGGGGACCTGCCCCCTTGAGACTGCCTCGGACTCTCCAGCACGGGATCCAGGTCCCTCAATCTGACGTCTTTTTTGGTTGATGCCCTTGTCTGGCTGGAGCAAATCCTCCAGTAGCTTCTTCAGAAAGAACAAGAAATCTGAGGCTTTCCGGGTCTAGAAAGATCTTTATCCTCTTGCACATTTAGTCTGGAATTTGGCTAGGTACATGCTTTTGGGTCAAAAACTATTCCTCTTCTGCTTTTTGAAGGCCTGTTCCTTTGCATTAGCTCATAGTGGAAGTCCGATGCCTTGGGATCTCTTGTTCTTTATGTGGACCTAGCTGTTCCTTCCAGACGTTTCTGGGATCTTCTGTTCAACCCAAGAGTTGTGAAACCGTATAGTGATGTGTACACAGTGTGGGTCATTGTCATCCTCCGCACCAGGCTTCTTTGAATCTGGAAACAGCGTTTCAGTCCCAGGCAACATTCTTTCCTCTCTTCCTGAAACTCCTTTGCAGAGGCCAGAGCTGCTCAGGGAGCCTGTGTGTGTGGATCTCCCCGTCCTCTGCTGACTCTCGGCTCGGGGGGACTCCTCAAGCCGGCTCCCAGCCCATCGGTCTGTTTGCCTGGAGCCAGCTCTCCTGGAGCTGTGTGGGCTCCTCCTTACCTGCAGACACCTGCCCCAAGGGACCCCGAATGGCCAGGTGCCTGGAGGCAAACCGCACCGTCTCCTTCGTGGGTCCCACTCTCTCTGGTTGGAGGCGGTGTCTCACATCTTCTGCTGGAGACATGCGGGGGTGGGGGGGTGGGGGGGCCCTGAGCCCCACGGCGCCTCACACTCGGCCTCCAGTCCATTGAGGTCCCCGGCCCAGGAGGCTCCAGTGTCTCTGAATCCCAGGCCTTCCTGGAGCTCTGGGCATGAGCCCCCTGCTGCCTGTCTGCGCCCTTGGATCCGAGTTCCCTCTGCGCTGCCCGTGGTGCTGCCCACCCTGCTGCTCCTGTCAAAGTCTGTGGACCAGCCACTCCCTCCCTCTGCCATCCCCAGCCATTCTCCTATGGCCGTCACGGTGGCATTTCAGGAAAGGATGGAGAGAAACATGCACTTTACCCTCCAGGCCTGACTGCGTGTCACTGCTGTCAGTTCACGTGAACCAAACACGGGACTGAGTCCCAGTACCTACACTAAATATTTTCAATATGGAAGCAGGTGTCCTTGGACCTCAGGTGGCAGGAGAGGCAGGGTGGGGGCTCCTCTTGGATCCCTGCCCATGCGGCTGGTCCCGAGGGGCTCCTGGCTCAGGCAAGAGGGGCCCAGAGCACCCAAGGTCCCAGCTCTCACAGGACAGCCGCTGCCCCGGGGCCCTGCTTCCACACGGAGCAGAGGGGCTGCTGAGGCCCACGGGGCCAGCACAGTCACTGCATCTAGGTGCAGGGGGCCGCGAGCCCTGTACCCCAGGCCCTCCTCACCCCGTCCCCCCACTCTGCCGTTTCGGCCCCAAGACACACACTCCCCTTCCCCCTTAAGAGACAAGCAGGCAAGCGGCGAGGAAAGGATTTCAGCTGTTGTGTGCGCTCTGGGGAAGAACAATCTAGGAAGTGTTCAGGGAGCCACCAGAGCAACAAGTTCCTTGGGGCCATGGGGCCGGGAGACCCCAGGGTCACAGGGCTTGGGCCTGAGAGGCCAGAAGGTGTGTCTGTGGGGAAGGGCTCAGGAGCAGCACGGAGCCAGAAGCCCTGGGGGGAGCGGGCTCAGAGATGTGCTAACGTCCAGCCTGGATCAGGGAGGAGATGGGAGGCCACCGCCCAGTCAGCAGGTGTCGGAGGGGTGGGAGGCTGGACCTTAGCTCCTGGTTTCCCTTGTGACCCAAGGGTGGTGAGTGGAGAGTGGTCCAGGTCAGCAAGAGTGGCGGAGGCCATGAGGCGATGGAGACCCATGGGATCCCCCTGAGGAAGCGCGTCCCTGTCCGTCTTCCTGATGGCAGACAGCTGAGCACAACCGGCGTGAGGCAGCGTAGATGCTGCACGAGGCTGGCGTGCGGCCATCGGATCCCACACCCGCTGGAACGTGTGGTCGATGCGGGCGTTTCTCAAAGCCCTCGTCGGGGGTGACAAGGAGCCGAGAGGAAGACTGTGCATCCGGAGAAGGGCTGCTTTGCAGAACAGGAGCAGGAAGGGCATGGAGACGCTGGGCTGGGCTGGGCACCACGCCCCACGGACGCCTGAGCTGGCCAGGCACGGATCTGCCCAGTGCTTGGGGCCCAAGGGGCTGCACAGCAAGGAGCGGGATGGTCACAGCTTTGTGGGGTTTGTCGCAGAGCAGGGTCAATTCACACGATCAGATTTCGGGGTGGAAGATTACACCACAGGAGGGCAACAAGACGGGGGCAGATCATTTACCCTGGAGAGGCCAACACCTGGCTCCAGCTCCGAGGCGATGCAGGGGCGCACTATCAGGAAGGCTGAACCTTTAGGGGACAGGGGGCCTGACTGAGCAAGAACCTAGGAGAAGCTGCAGGTCCCAGAGAAGCAGGAGAGGCTGCAGGGAGACTCGAGGGATGGAGGGGAAGAGTGGGCAGGGGAGGAACCCACCCCGATGCCATGCCTTTGGGCAGGGAATCCAGATGGCGTCTAGGGACATCTGTGGTCGTCACAACTGGGGGTGCTCCTGGCATTGAGTGGGTAGGGGTTGGGTGCTCCTTGACCTTCCAGAGAGTGATCCGGCCCCAGAGTCCCCAATGCTAAGGGGAGAGACCTTGTCTGGGGACAGAGCCAGCATTGCTCTTCACCCTCTGGCCCAGGCTAAGGATGCTCAGGGGGAGACGAGACATCCCCTAAAACAAGCCCTCCGAGGCTCAGGGGAGCTGGCCCAGCTGGGCAGGGCAGGGGGCCACGTGGCCAGGAGAGAGTCACATGGGACTCTTGAAAGTCCCTGAGCTTGGCCTTGAGCCCCTGGCCTGCTTTTTCTGAGAAAGGCCCCCAAACCCTGACTTTAAAGAAAAAGAAGGAAATTAGCCCTATTTTACATATTAAAGGTTTTAAAGGAAATGTTATCCTTGGGAACAAAACTGATTTGTGGTCCAGTCCTCCTGGCTGGAGTACCACAGCTCCCTGGCGGACAGCGAGGGAGGGAAGAGGTGCCGATAAGAATACTCCAGAAACTAAGAGTGTACGGCAATGGAGCCGGGACAGTGAGGGGGTGGAAGGCGCTTCCTCTGGCACAGAAGGTTCTGGGCCCGCAGGCTGGGGTCCCTCATCCTCTAGGTAGGCTCTGCAGACAGCCTCTAATCCACTCCATTTCTGGGACGTGCTGCCTGTTTATTGGCAATCCACTCTGTTGACCAATTAGGCCGAGCCACAATCAATTAGCCATTATGCAAATGCACGTCTGGCCCAGGAGCTGGCCTTCCACGGGGAGCTCACTCTTCGCTGTGTTGCAGGCTGGTCTCGGCCAAGGAGGTGCTCCCGGCAAGGAGCACAGGGAGAGCGGAAATCAAAGGGACAGACAACAAAAGAACTCGGAAAAACCAGACTCACCTCCACAAGGGCTGTCAGGAACAGATGTGAACGCCGGAGCTGCCAGAAGCTTCTCAGAGGGAGGGGCCCCACGGTGGGGGAACCACGCAGCGAGGCCGAGACGGCCCAGCCTCACAGGTTCACAGACAGACCCGTGATAACAAGGACAGCCCAGTCGGGGGCTCTGCACCCCGTGGCTCCTCGGCCAGGATGGCAGGTGGGTGTCTGTCCCGCAGGGCGTGGGGGTGCCACCCCCGGGGCTCCCCGAGAAGGCTCTGGCCCAGCCGCCTGAGCCCTCAGCGGCCAGGCCCTGGGGACATGCCGCCCATGGCCAGCGGGGACAAAATGAAGCCAGAAGTGACCAAGAGGCCGCAGATGGAAAAGCCCTGCGCGAGGCACAGACCCGCCCACCGCCTGTTTTGGCACAGCCCACTAGCTACGGACGGTGACTACGTTTCTGAATGGTTCAGAGTCACAAGACTAATCCTACTCTGTGGCAGGTGAACATGATGTGACATCGCGATCTCAGTGTCCCTAAGTAAACTTCCACCGGGACGCACCACGCTCGTTTGTTTAGAGAACATCTACTTTTGTCTATAGCGGCGGCTTTCTTGGATTCGAGCAGCTTTGAGACCTCCGGCCCCTCACCGCCAGGTTCCAGCTCGCAGCTGGGGACCCAGCAAGGATTTGCTGAATGTTCTCTGAGCACCAGGAAGGAATCCGGCGGAACACTGCCCGTGAGCACTCAGACGAGGAGAGCCTGGGCGTTTCCACAAGAAGCAAATGGACCGATGTTTGCGTACCAGGGTGCAGCCGGGCACTGCTGTGGGCTCTCTTGTTCCTGGCACAGAGCTGATTTCCCATTCAGCCCACCCCGTGCCCACATCCCCACAGGCTCGGTGACACGCCAAGAGGGCGCTGTCGCTTTGCTCTGTTCTTCCCCACCCAATGCCAGGCAGGCAGTGACCACACTGTCCTGGAAGGTGGGGGCCGGGAGGGGTCCACGCTGTAGAGAGGGGCCCTCCGAGCCAGAATGGGGATGTCTGTATGGACAGGACTCTGGACTCAGTGCCATAATCGTAAATCCAAACAGTGTGATTTTGGAGGTGCCAAATGAGCATCCACAGGCGCAAAAGGGCAGGGGCCCTGCAGCTCTGCGGGCCCCAGCACAAGACCTGCCAGCGCTCGGAGCCGAGGACAGGCCCGAGCAGCCCCGCCACACAGAAACCCGGCTCTGGTGCCCACAACTGTCAGAGGAGTGACAGGGGCTGCCTGCGTCTGTGTCCTCCCAGTGAGGAAACTGTGTGGCCCAAGCGCCAAAGGGTTGGCCTCCCAGGAGCTGGTGAATGAGTGTGTGGTGGTGATGGGGGGAACCTGAGTCCCTGACAACAGATGCCACCTGCCCCAAGGCCCACTGACAACGTTCATTCTGGGAAGTCAAGGCCTCAGAATTACTCTTGCAAAAGAAACAGGAGAAGAAGGAGGGGAAGAGAAAAAGGAAGGAAAGAAAAAAGGGGGGAGAGGAGGAGGGGAGGGGGAAAGGGAAAAGGAGGGGAGAGGGGACAGGGGAAGGGGAGGGGCGGAGCCACCAGCCAGGTGGAGAGTGGGTGTGGCCAGGGCCGAAGTCACTTACTGTCACCTGGAGAGCCAGGCAGGGCGCGGAGGCTCAGGCTTCAGGGGGACTCACCTGCGCAGGAGCTTGGCCTTGAGCGAGGCCCGGGAGGCGCTCCAGGTGCTCAGCTCTGGGCTGCTCAGGGCTGTGGGCCGGGTGTGGTCGAGCACCGTCAGGTCCTTGCCTTGCTTCCATAGCTCATAGCGCTCTGGCTGCAGGATGCGCACGAAGACGTCCATGGAGATCTTGACCATGTCCTTCCGGCACGTGCACTACAGGAGGGCAGGGGAGACCTGCTGAGCCTGTGGCTGGTGAGCTGAGCAGGGCCAGGGTGGACCCCAACTGGGCCCCTCTCCTTTCTAGAGCCTCTACCTCCAGGCGGGGAATGGCACCTTTCTCTCCCAAGTGGAAGCCATGCCCTTGGGTGTGAGCGTCTGGCCCACCCCGTAGGGTCCCAGCCCCACCCCCAGCACGTGGTCTGGGGAGATGAGAGCAAACCCTTTGTGGGGGATTCAGGGGTCAGCAGCAGAGACAGAGCTCAGGAGCCCAAGGTCACGAGGGTCCAAATTCCAGCTGCCCCGTGTCGGCTCTCACCAAAATCTCCCATCTGTCGGACACATGTATCCCCAAGTAGGAAATAATGCATGTGGAATGCTGCTTAATAGCAGTAATTTCAAAGGTTAGGAAGAGGGGAGAGCTGTCAGGCCCAAAAGGCTGAGAGCAGAAAAGGAAACACAAGTGATTTTGAGGAGGTGCAGGGCACCCAGGGATGCATACATGCCTGCTCCCAGTCTCCGCCTCTGGTCTGGGGAGAGGAAGCCGGGAGCCCGAGGGTCAGCGGCTGGCCCCAGGGCGGCCCGAACTCAGACAGAGTGGCCCGCTGGGGAAGGGTCTGGCACAGTGTCCCGGGGTGGCCTGGACCAACACTGCCTTGGACCGGAGGGTCCTTTGTGTCTGGAAGCCCCAAGCACAGGGCAAACACATGGGCAGAGGACAGGCTGAAATGGGGTCCCTCCTGCCCCCTCTTCTGCTGTCTGGACACATCCCTCCTGTGCCCTGAACAACTCCCGTAAGTGTCTCCTCCATGTCATAGCATCGTGGTGGCCCCTGGTGCTGGGCACCATGCAGGAGGCACACAGGTGTCCCAGGGACACTTAACACCTTGGGAAGTCGTGGGTCAGAAAAGCCAGCTAGAGATTCCAGAAGCTGGTCAGTGAGCCAATGACCTTCCTCCATCAGCAGGAAGAACTCAGGAAGCCCTGCTCTCCTACTCATCTGTGGGACTGGACAATCATCCTACTGCAAAAGGGAGAGAAATGGAGGGGACACTGGTCTAGGGCAGGGCTGGCAAACTGTCCGTAAAGGGCCAGGCAGTGACTATTTTCAGCTTTGTGGGCCACAAGGTCTCTGTCACAACCTCCCAACTCTGCTGCTGTAGCTCAGAAACATCAGAGAGAAGAGGTAAGTGAAGAGGTGCACCAATAAAACTTTATTTACAAAAACAGGCAAAGGGCCGGATTAGGCACAGGCCCCAGTTACAGGTTCTGGAAGCAGGTGGCCCAGGGGACCCCAGGAGGTGGTTCTGACCCCGGGCTGGGGCTCCTGCCTCTGTCTAGAGCACACACAGTCCTTGCCTCCTTATGGGGACACATGTACCCAAGACAGGCCTGTCCTGAGAGCCCTGACCAGAGGCCTCAGGGCAGCCACCCTTCAGGGACACGCCCGGGGACACCTGCCCTGCAGCCCCCGCGGCTCCAACTCTGAACGCCTGCCTGCTCAGAATGCTCTCGTCCCCTCTTTCTGCACCCCCGTCAAATAAACAGGTTTAGGAGAAGCCCATTTCCAAAACTGCGGCTTAAAACGTGGTTGCATTTCAAACACACGTCTCACCCTCCTTTACAACCGTGTAGCTGTCACTGTCACTTTCTCAGTGGAAACGGCAAGAAGGAAAAGATGTAACTGGATCCAGCAACTGTGCACCCCGCCCTGACAAGCCCCTTGAAGCTTCTCCCATCTGCTCTGGAAACAATGAACACTGAGGACCCCCATCTGAGGTGGGCGTGGTAGGGCTGCAGGAGGAGCTTCGGGAAGTGTCCTCAGGGCTTTCCCGCAGCCCCAGCTCCCACCCCCGCTCCCCCAGGGGCTGGGTCCGGGAACTCGGGACTTGAGGACTGCAATACCCTGACCACGCCAAGTGGGAGGGAATATTTATGGACAAGCGATTCCCAGCAAACGCAATTCATTTAATGAAAAATTGTGCAGGAGAGAAAGGCTGGTGGTGCAATCTGGCTTCGGAGCGGCGGGAGCACAGATGGTGCCCGTGTTTCAGATTCCTGGCCCGGCCGTGGCCTCCCCAGAGTCACCATCAACAGCAGCTTAAGGGATTTGTATGGAGTGGCTTGGCAATTGCTTTTCCTTAAGTAATTAAAAAAAGCACCTGTGTGCACCGTGGAGGGGGACACGTGGATGTGCTCCGAGGAGCACTGCCTGCTGCTGTGGAGCCTGGCCCACGCCCCACTGCCCAGCTGGGGCGGCGCTGCTGGGAAGAGCCTCGCTCCCTCTCCACGGGTTCTGACTGTGGTGGGGCTTGTCACCAGTGGGGACAGTGACCGGAGTGAGCAGTGGGTCCCAGAGAGGGGAGCAACAGCACTGGGGTTTAGGACATGGCACAGAGCAGCTGAGCTTGGGGAGCCCAAGCCACAGACCCACAGGCTCCTGTCGGCCCCGCAGGTGGGGAGGCGAGGCTGCTAAGGCCAGCAGAGAGGCCCAGCTTCTCCTTACAAGCAACCTCCTGGGGCTGAGCACGCCAGACACCCCCCCAAGAGCCCTCACCAGCTGCTACCCAGTGACGGGGGACGTCCCACAGTGCTGCTTCATGTGGCTGGGGTGGCCGGGAGGAGGTACACAGGCCCCAGGCTGCAGGGGTGGCCTGGAAGGGGGCTCAGAGCAGGTGGGGGCTCACGGCACGATCCTCAGGGAGGCCTCTGAGCAGGCCCCGGGGAGGGAGGCTCGGAGCCAAGGGCTCTATCTTCTCGTTTCCCCCCTCCAGCCCCCATCCCACTCCCAAACCTTCTGAGACACGTGTTCTCAAGGATCTGCTGGCATCTGTCAAGCCGACAGTTTCTGTGGCTCGCGTACCAGCCCCCCCGAGTTAGCAGTCCCCCCATCCGCACCAGTGACAGAGAGAGAGTGCTCTCAAAGGGAGTTGGTCGAGTCATTAGTTTCTGATGAGAAATGGGGCATGAATGTGGGGGAGGAGGTCGGAGAGGCCCCCTGCAGGCCTGAGCACGCCCTAGGGCCCTCTGAACCGCTGTCAGGACATACAGCCCCCCCCCCCCCGCCCCGTCGCTGCCGGAACCGGGTGTAGCAGGGCTCTGCTCTGAGGGAGGCTCAGTCATGAGGAGGCCAAGTGGCACCTGTCCTGCCCCAAGCAGCCAACGCAGGGCGGCTGGTGATTCCATTAGTGCCAGGCAGGGCAGTCTGGGAACAGAGGAGAAAGGAAAGGCAAGAGGCAGGGAACTGGGGTGGGGGGAGGGCGGGGACAGAGGCACCTTCGAGTGGGGTCCCCCACCCCCCAGCCTCGGCTGCGGGTCCCTGGGTGGGGCCTGCCTGCCGCCACCCACAGCATGGGCCCATTCACCACAGGCACTCAGCCCTCGCCCCCAATTCTGGGCTCACTGGCCTGGACGGGGCCCTGGGCAGGCCCGGCACCTGTGGCCTTTCACCTGCTCCCCATCAGACACCAGTGGCAAAGGGGCACGTCTGGGCCAGGGCAGGGTGGCCACCCCTCAACACACACTCGTGAGCAGAAACTGCTTCCCTGATGACGCCTCCCATCAAGAGGAGCCCGACAGCCCTGCAAAATGCACCTCAAAGAGCCCTTGACAGGCAGCTCAAGGAGCTGCCTGTGCCAATTTAATTAATCGACACAATGTGTTCAGTGGCGCTCCCCCAATGCCCAATGGAGGCAAACCCGTGCCCTGGGGTGACAGCACAGAGGGGGAGCGGCAGTTCCCCACCCCCTCCCCGCAACACCCCTCCGAGGAGCAGAGGAGGGCAGGACAGGCACGTGCGGTGGACGGAGTCGTGTCCCCCTGATTTCCTAGGTGGAAGCCCATCCCCATGCGAAGATGGGAACATCAGGAGGAAGTTCAGTCACCCCCACCCCTTCATGCAGGGACACGGTGGGAAGGCAGCCATCTGCAACCCTCCAGAGGGCTCTCACAGAACCCAGCCCCGCTGGCACCCTCATTTCAGATGTCCAGCCTCCAGAACGGGGACACATTCCTACTGCTGACAAGCCACCCGGTCTGTGATCCTTTGTCACAGTGGCCTGAGCTCACCCAGATAGGTGTCCTTGTGGAAACCTACTACAGTCCTGTTCTTTACGGACCGTGGCAGGTTGCACACACCCCACCAGCTGTTTCCAGAATCCAGCTCTCACCAGCTTCCAGGAAGCACCTAGAGCCTGGTGATCAGAGGCCTGGCCTCAGTTCGGCCTCCTCTGGGCCACCTGCCCCCACCCCCGCCCTGTACCCACCGCCCAGGCTGGCCATTTACTGTGAAAACGTACCCCTGGCGCCCAGAAGGACCTCAGGGGGCCTGGGCCAGCTGTGCTTCACCCAGCTGGGGCCCAGACCCAGCCCCACAGGGTACCTGGGGGGTCGAGAGGACCAGCCCCATGCTGCCCAGGAGCTTAGGGTCCCCTCTTAGCAGAGATGCCAGCTCCTGACCCCAGCCACGATTTCACACGCTCTGCTTGGAACTGCCTGGTGTTTCTGTTTTTACAAACCCAGGCCCTCACACACGGAGGAACGCGAGCATGGGTGTCTCTGAAATGACACGTAAGGAATGAGGAGTCAGGCCCTGGGTCACCTGGGTTCGCTCAGAAGCACTGCACCTGCGCCTGGAGAAGGTGAAGGGCCATCAGCCTTGGGGGTGAGGGGTGGGAGCGTCTCTCCTCTGTGGTGGCGGTGGCGGGCGTGCAGATGGCACCCTCTTCCTCCTCAACCTCCCAGGGTGTCACACCTACAGGCAGTAATGCTCCTTACGCAGCGGAGGGACACATACGGGATGAGGCCCGAGGCCCGGGAGTGGCTCCCCTGACGGACTCCCCCGCACAGCAGAGCCCAGGGCAGTGCGGCCCTGAGTGTGAGCAGGCGGTGAGGGCCCGTGACTTGCTAAGCTTGTAGGCGTGTACAAGGAAAGGCGTGGAGACCAGATTGGGCAAGTGTAAAGTCATACGAAGACAGAGCAAAATGGTTCCAGACTT